TATATGTTACCGGCAAAGTATGTAATTCGACATTGTATAGAATTCCTAGGCATTGTATATAAATCCTAAAATCATCAGGTATTTTATGAAATAAATGATATAATGTAGATTTTCTAGGCATTTTATGGAATACCTATTGCATAACCGGCAATGTATGAATAAGTTGATAGAAGACGTGGTGATGCTCGAAATATTCTAGCTATTGTCATGAATATCACAGACGATGGACTATGTCAGCTCGGTACTAAGCAAGGTGTTGTTCCTGATATTGAAATTACACTACGTTCAGTTGCAACTTTGCAGTCTACCGGAACGGATCAAGGATTTGTCGAATGCAGTTGCAAAAAGAACTGTGAAACAAAGAAGTGCTTATGTGTTAAGAAGAAAACACTTTGTTCTGGTAAATGTCACTCAAGTCTACCTTGTAAAAATAAATAGAAAAATCTATTCCCATTTACTTTTAGAAAATACATGTTCAATGTTTGTTAAGTTTCTTATGCAAAATATTTCTTTATTCCGAATAAAAGTTTATCTTATCGCTTTATATCTTTGATTTTTTACCTTTCCTAATATTACATTGGCGTACTATAGAATTCCAAGGCATTCTATAAAATAACTAGGTAAAGTATACACAAATATTCAAATTTAAACAGATTTCATATATTTCCTAAAATCGTCAGTCATTTTATAAAATACCTAGGTTTTCTATAAAATGCCGGAGTTTTATACTCTGCCGGTAACATATATACATATTTCGTTTAAAACTACTAGAAAAAGTTAAGATTGTTAAATTGAGTTTTATTATAAATAAAACAACAACAAGAAACAATATCTTCTAATATAGTCTATACTGGACACACAATATACATACTATAGCACACATACTCGCCATGACGCCTAAGACACGTCTGCCAGGGAAATATAACTTGGTCACGTGATTGAAGTAATATTTAAATATTGTTTATTTACTATATGGAAACCTCAGACATTAAATATTTATAACAAACAGCTTCACATTTAAAATATTATATATATGGAATAATTTTACTGTAAAGTTTCTTAAATAAAAAGGAATATAAATGTATAGGTATACTTATATTTAAAATGTATTTTTTTTAATTCCTAACAAATGGTTATATTAAATCTAATTAGTTAATTATAGACAAATCTGTAGTAAATTCTCTTTTTTTTAATTCAAACAAAGCAATTGACTTGTTTATTTCAATGTAACTATCATAAGTCTAAACTGACAGCCGATTACTTTAATAGAAAATAAATGTTTTTTCAGTGTAGATTTAAATAATTTTCAGTGTCCTTCTTTATACTATTTACGTTATGGTATTTTTTTTTGTAAACCTTGAAGCACCAAATTAATTCATTTTTACTTGATCTACCCCTTCTCGAAGTTATATGATAAAATCTGCCACACACTCTACTACAAAGTTTGTAAACGTAAAAAACAATGGGGTTAAAAAATCGCAATAAAGAAAATGAGGACTCGGGACTTGGGACTTGGAAAATTGTGTTATAAATTCCGGGGGATGCCAGCCTTCGCTGGCATCTAGGATGTATTCTGGAGGGGTATATATTTCATAATTTAATACCAACCTTGATTACATCGAACGACGCTGAGAAAAAATGCCGATATTAACAGCGTAAGTGACAGCTGGGGGTGCGCAGCCATAGTAACTCGGGGTGTCCCGGACAGCTAGACTCTAGGGGGTGCGCTAGGCATCACTAACACCGTACACTCTCTTCCTCCTCGACGGTCTCGTCTGTACGTCACTCCGTCACATAGCTCCTGACACTCCACTTATTAGGTGCACTGTTATCTGTAACAAAAACGGTGCAACTGAGCGTGAGGGTGGATGCAAGACACTGACATGTTTTAAATAGTTTCAAAAGTGTGAATAATGCACAGCACGAGGGGTAGGATACACACATTTTTCGACAAACGCATAAAATTTAATCACTTGGCTACTTGTAATCTTGAATAAAATATCCTTTACTTTTCAGTATTTCTTGTTTATTCGTTATCTAAGTAGGTACTATGAATTAATTGTTTCACTTAGGAAGGTATATCGGGGTCCGAGGGAAGTGAGAAGCGCAGGGGGGTCCTATGCTTTTCTTATGGGACTAAAACCCCCTGCCAATTTGAAAAAATTAAATTCTATTGAAATTATTTGCGATAAACATNTGATATTTGAATAACCTATTAAATTCATAATTCAATTTGAGAAGGTACATAGTGTTGAGATCTATCAATAGAGAAACACATACTTACAATACTCTTATTCAATTTAATTCTAACTTTCAGAAATTATTATTTACTTATTTACTTTTTATGTATATGTTACCGGCAAAGTATGTAATTCGACATTGTATAGAATTCCTAGGCATTTATAAATCCTAAAATCATCAGGTATTTTATGAAATAAATGATACAATGTAGATTTCCTAGGCATTTTATGAAATACCTCTTGCATAACCGGCAGTGTATGAAATAAACACAGTAATATGTTACATGGTAGTGGGAAGGTAATGATAATGAACATTGGAGTGAAGGTTTAAGATTTGTACAACTCATGAAAAATAGAGCTTTTCATTCTGGAATAAAGCGAACGCCTTATGAGGCTCTTTTTGGTTGTAAAGTAAAAGTAGATATAACATTGCCAAACCAGTTGCACAACATCTTGAAAGTGAAGAAGATTCGAAGAGAGTTATTAAAAATAATATTAATTAATTAAGGTAATTTACAAAGAAAACCTCAAGACGAAACCTCTAAAACACATGAGACATGTGATCAATCTTCAGTTGCAGAGGATATAACAAGCCACCAACTACTTTATGTTGTGTATGTTTTAAAGAGACAAATGAAATTCAGTCATGCAAACGATGCAAACAAACTATTCATTCCATGTATGGTGTATCAGAAACAATACATTCTGATGGTCATGGGTCTTCAGTATTATGTCCTTTATGTGCTAGGAATATAATGGCAACCTAAAATCGGAATTCTGAGTAGAAAACTTGAGACAACAAGCGGAAGAAATGTTGAATACGAATTCCAGTGCCAGAAGTTGATAGAGGACGTGGTGATGCTCGAAATATTCTAGCTATTGTCATGAATATCACAGACGATGGACTATGTCAGCTCGGTACTAAGCAAGGTGTTGTTCCTGATATTGAAATTACACTACGTTCAGTTGCAACTTTGCAGTCTACCGGAACGGATCAAGGATTTGTCGAATGCAGTTGCAAAAAGAACTGTGAAACAAAGAAGTGCTTATGTGTTAAGAAGAAAACACTTTGTTCTGGTAAATGTCACTCAAGTCTACCTTGTAAAAATAAATAGAAAAATCTATTCCCATTTACTTTTAGAAAATACATGTTCAATGTTTGTTAAGTTTCTTATGCAAAATATTTCTTTATTCCGAATAAAAGTTTATCTTATCGCTTTATATCTTTGATTTTTTACCTTTCCTAATATTACATTGGCGTACTATAGAATTCCAAGGCATTCTATAAAATAACTAGGTAAAGTATACACAAATATTCAAATTTAAACAGATTTCATATATTTCCTAAAATCGTCAGTCATTTTATAAAATACCTAGGTTTTCTATAAAATGCCGGAGTTTTATACTCTGCCGGTAACATATATACATATTTCGTTTAAAACTACTAGAAAAAGTTAAGATTGTTAAATTGAGTTTTATTATAAATAAAACAACAAGAAACAATATCTACTAATATAGTCTATACTGGACACACAATATACATACTATAGCACACATACTCGCCATGACGCCTAAGACACGTCTGCCAGGGAAATATAACTTGGTCACGTGATTGAAGTAATATTTAAATATTGTTTATTTACTATATGGAAACCTCAGACATTAAACATTTATAACAAACAGCTTCACATTTAAAATTTTATATATATGGAATAATTTTACTGTAAAGTTTCTTAAATAAAAAGGAATATAAATGTATAGGTATACTTATATTTAAAATGTATTTTTTTTTAATTCCTAACAAATGGTTATATTAAATCTAATTAGTTAATTATAGACAAATCTGTAGTAAATTCTCTTTTTTTAATTCAAACAAAGTAATTGACTTGTTTATTTCAATGTAACTATCATAAGTGTAAACTGACAGCCGATTACTTTAATATTTAGAAAATAAATGTTTTTTCAGTGTAGATTTAAATAATTTTCAGTGTCCTTCTTTATACTATTTACGTTATGGTATTTTTTTTTGTAAACCTTGAATCACCAAATAATTCATTTTCACTTGATCTACCCCTTCTCGAAGTTATATGATAAAATCTGCCACACACTCTACTACAAAGTTTGTAAACGTAAAAAACAATGGGGTTAAAAAATCGCAATAAAGAAAATGAGGACTCGGGACTTGGGACTTGGAAAATTGTGTTATAAATTCCGGGGGATGCCAGCCTTCGCTGGCATCTAGGATGTATTCTGGAGGGGTATATATTTCATAATTTAATACCAACCTTGATTACATCGAACGACGCTGAGAAAAAATGCCGATATTAACAGCGTAAGTGACAGCTGGGGGTGCGCAGCCATAGTAACTCGGGGTGTCCCGGACAGCTAGACTCTAGGGGGTGCGCTAGGCATCACTAACACCGTACACTCTCTTCCTCCTCGACGGTCTCGTCTGTACGTCACTCCGTCACATAGCTCCTGACACTCCACTTATTAGGTGCACTGTTATCTGTAACAAAAACGGTGCGACTGAGCGTGAGGGTGGATGCAAGACACTGACATGTTTTAAATAGTTTCAAAAGTGTGAATAATGCACAGCACGAGGGGTAGGATACACACATTTTTCGACAAACGCATAAAATTTAATCACTTGGCTGCTTGTAATCTTGAATAAAATATCCTTTACTTTTCAGTATTTCTTGTTTATTCGTTATCTAAGTAGGTACTATGAATTAATTGTTTCACTTAGGAAGGTATATCGGGGTCCGAGGGAAGTGAGAAGCGCAGGGGGGTCCTATGCTTTTCTTATGGGACTAAAACCCCCTGCCAATTTGAAAAAATTAAATTCTATTGAAATTATTTGCGATAAACATTATCTATATAGCAAAGAAATCTACTCATATGCACATAGCATACATATTGACTAATTAACAACATAAAAATATCATATTTAAGTAGTTTTAAATTATATTTAATGAACGCATAAAGACTATGTAGATGTGGCAACAGCGCTAATAATTGACTAGCAGTTGTACACACTGCGAACCTACAGACCTCGGACATCGGAGATATTGCGCGTCAAATTCGGGTAAAGATGCGTACGCGTTCAAAAATGTATTGTGTGTAAACTATGTACAATATAATTATTATATATAGCAAATATATCGTATTATCCTCGCGAAGATTTGTATCCTTTATTTAAAATCCGTAAATCATGTGAACTGGTAAAACAACGAGAATTATGTTAATTTAGTTCTAAAGAAATGAAATGACACTCGCGCCCATCTCTCGTCCAAGTCAAAGAAAATGTTGGATGCAATTTTGAAGGTTCTGTGATAGAAATTACATTATTACTCACTGTTCGTGTTTTTAATCTCTATTTTAGTAATGTTACAAAAGTTTTGCAACTATAACTAATTTTTTAGATATAAAGTTTGCTGAGAAATATTTATGTTCCTTTGTTATTCCGTACAAATGCTTTTATCTCAAGTATTACTAATTATATTAATCAAGTAAAGAAAACTTTATGTAACCCTAAATATTGCTGGGTAATGATTACGATGTTTTTATAAACCATTAAATATATTAAAAGGATTTATCAACTGTATTTTTTATTCCAATAAATATATCACAGCTTCCTAGTCTTTTTTAATTAATCTAGTTTTTTAAAAACATTACAAAAAATTATCTGTTGTGGATAATTTATTGTTGATAACAATGTACATGGGATTTAGGAAAAATGTATATGTTTGAAATCAATTTCGTTTTTATCAAGTCTTTCAAATGTATTCCCTCCTTGCTGTCAGCTGATTGCGACGTTGCCACATTAATCCCCAAGTCAGACAGAAATGCAATTATTGGTTTCTGTTTCTAATTAATACAGCTGTACTATGTTCAAAACTTCAGTTGTACATAAAAAATAAGACAATACTATCTATGGAAAAGTTTTGTTTCACAATTTCTACATTTCTTTCTCAGTTATGGGCAAAAAAAAGCCGCACCGTCCATCTTCGCCATATAAGCCTATGTTAAAATGAACAACTTTCAACAAAAATATCTCAAAATCTTGATTAAAAAAAAAAATTAAAAAAATTGATGCACAGCGGGAGCACTGGCTAAGACGCTATATAAATTTCAAGTACATCTGTGCATTTGAGTAAACCCGATATACCTCCTTAAAAAAGTATTAAATTCCATGCTAAAACTTTTTTTAAATTCTGGAAAGGTTTATTTCATTTAGTAAGGTAAATACTCAATTTTATTATATTATTTACCTATAATATTGAACAAAATTGTCAATACTTCGAAAATTTAAATATAATAATAGTTGAAAATCTAAAAGGCAATGAATAGAACTACAAAAGTTTTAATCTATTTTTGAAATTACCTACTACTTTCAAACGGCTGTTACTGGAAATAAAATAACATTTTTCTTCTTGTATAGCTGTACATACCCCAGAAGAAAAAAAATTGTAAATTCTGCAATACATATTTTCGTTCTTTTTTTTTGCTCAGTTATTCCTTTTTATTGAATTCTTCACTTTTTGTTTGGGTTAAGATCTACACATTTATTGGTGAA